GACATACGTCCATGTATATCGTGTACATTTACATGCGACTTGTGAGATCGCAAAGAAAGAAAACTCTATGTCCTCAATATAGCGATGAAGCCAGAGTACTTATATCCAAACATTAAAACTTTATTTGTAATTGAAAAACAATAAAAATATGCACAATAAGATACATTTATTTTAAAATTGCACTTAAGAATTTTAGTTTTATTCGAAATTTTGAACAGAAAAATATCTGGAAAATCTGAAAATCTTTAAATTTCAGAAGGAAATTTCTTTAAAAGATTAAACGCTTTGAACTAATAAAATAATAATTGAACAGGAAATATACAAGAGCATGACTGATATAAAACATAATTGATATAAAATTATTCGAATTTATATCAAAATAATTTTATAAAACAAAATTATGATCAATTGCATAATTAGAACTTTCGCGTTATATATAAATTTATTTAATTTACATGAAATTTGCTCAGAAATTGTGCCACAATGAACATATAAAATGATTTTAATATTCCAAATTAATTTTTTATCGCAGAATTTAATTGGTAAATCATCGATCGTATATCAAAATCAACTCGCTCGAATTCCGAGATCGATATCCGTCCTTTGAGTCACGCGCGCAAGAATATTTTATTTACGCATTTTTTAAAAGCTAATTATCTTTCTCTTCGACGTGCCACAATCCGTGCAACATAACATCAAATACATGTAGATCCGACGAGTATAAGCCTCGTGCGATCCGGTTTCCACCAATTCAATGCTTACGAAGACGTTGAGAACCGACGGCGGCGATCTAACTGTTTTTCTTCCTCATTAATGGAATCTGAGAAATACGTTTTCACGAAAAGCGCGGTGTTCGCGCGCCAAACAATCGTCTTCTCCGCATGGCAGAGCTAATCTGGGAGGCATCATCGCGATTATGTGCTAAATTCGCGATAAATTCGTGCAGCGCAACACTCCTCTCGCGCGGTCATCTCTGTCTCACGAAAACGAGAGAGAGGAGAACGTCCCGATGGTACAAAGTTCACAGAAACCGAGACTTACGTTGCTTCCCGATGCAGTCAGCATCAGTAGTTATAGCGTCGAATCGACACCGCATAGACTGAGTTGCCGCGATTTCCTGAGAAAAAGTCATTTTTCTCGATCGGCGATGCGCTACGCTTACTATATGACTGCTATGCGAGGATCTCTTAAGAATTGCGTACAATGCCAGGTCAGTAATTATTACTTTCTTGTGAATATCATCGATGTGACATCGTCGCATTATTTCATCTTTGGTGAAATTTTAGCGATAATTCCTCGTCACAACCTGTGGAATTTAGATTTAAAAAAAAATTGAAGCAATAATTTAAATAACAAAAAATTTGTCGCTCGATCTTGATCAATCTTTAACTTTAATTAAAAAATCTTCAGCTGTCAATGTTCATTCTTAATTTCACAGAATATCTCTAAATTCGAGGTACTAATTTCTAAATGAAGATGACATTTCGAATTACAGTAGGTACAGTAGGAGGTGTTTTTGCTTCGATAGAAGGTATTTTTAGGAGTTATTTTGATATATTAACATGATGCATGTGCATGCATGAGATAATAATAAATATAGCGACTTGACTGAAGATATCACTTTTATGAAATCATGATACTTTTCTTTATAAAACTTTTTCTCTATATCTCATGTATATAGTAAGAAGTACTCGATGTTACAAATGTATTGCCAGCTTTTGTTACATATTGATTTCTAAAAGTATAATCGAGAATAATAGTATTGCGCTCTCTGTCATAGACATATTATTGTACCTAATATATAATTTGTATTTTCTTTGCAATAGAAAATTCCTGATTTTCTAAACGTCTTCTCTCTTATTTTTATTCCGATATTTATGCCTCTGGTAACATAAGATTTTTATTTCTACATGTCTCTCCAATTTTTGATACAAGATTAAGACTTACACAACACAAATTTTGCAGTTATATTGCAGCAATGTTACTGCAATATAACTGAAAAGTTCGCTGTATGGAGATTGTTGAATGGATTTTGAAATTTTATTCGAGATTTGATGACGAAGTTCAGTTTCGAAAAGAGTCACGATGGCATTTTTTTGAATTTTCTGAGGAGATATCTAGCATCTTCAAAAAGTCTGTCAAGATTCTGTCGTCAAGATTTATCGTATAATGCGATCAGAGTTCTTTCTAGCTGCATGCATTTCGGGCGAAACATGTTGATGCGCTATGCACTCGTCCTCCGTTGAAGGGCTCCTCGTTTGCGGTGAACCGCACAAATCTTTCCTTCTCCTCTTTCTTCCCCTCCTCCTCCTCTTCCTCCTCCTATTCCTCCCGTCGTCGCATCCTACCGTACCGCAAGCAACTTTTTGTCACGCATACTTGTCTTATACCGCAGGCAGAAGAGATTTTAGCGTGCTTACACAGTAAAAAACATTTTGTATTTGTATTAAAATCGGTCTTTGTTAAAATTTTTGTGTTAAATAACCTACATATTTATGTAAATTTAATACATGTCTACTATGTTAACTAACCTTAACAAATATAAAATGTAAAATTATTAAAGTGATTTAAGAAATGTGTTAACATAACACAATTCGTACGTATTTATTCAATATGTTAAAATTTACACAAAAAAAAAATATTGGTTTTACTCTATAACAGGAGTGGGGATGACTTGTTATTATTTTTTGTGTGGTTTCGACACAGTCTTGAATTTTGACGCGTCTCGACATGTTATTTTATCATAAAAATTATGTTAATTGTAACACACAATTAACTTCAAATTAAGATCAAGAGTACATTTCTTTTTTATTGAAATATTAACATAGCGTCGGTGTTACTATTTAACACATCCATATTATGTTAAATTAACACAAAATTTTGAATGGATCGTTTGGGACATGCGATTTATGTTAAATTCAACACATTTTTTCCAACAGTGTACAATATAACGCACAGTAAGAAAATAGCTTGGCAATAATGATGAAAGAGACAGATGATGAAAGATACGATAACCATCTACTACTATGTTGCACGGTGATGCAGAAGATAGTAATTGACAAGCGCGAAAAGCGCACATTTGGCATGCAAAGTCACTTCGTGAAATTTCACATTTCACGCGTTATTGCGTTATTTCTCCACTTCTACGAAAACGGTACGGATTTCGCGCGCATGCAATTCCGCCTTATCGCAACTCGTCCGTTTCTGCTATTTAAGCGTGAATCGTTGCGTCAACGCTATTATTAGATCACGCTGTCATCATCCTAATTTTTGCACTCACGCGCAACGAGTCGGCGAGTTGAACGGCATAATTTTTTTTTTCCTTCGCAATGGGAGGATACGCGCGATGCGTACGTTCTCATCGCACCTGACGTCGAGCACGCGTATGGGGGATGAGTCGCGAGATGACGCATAACACGCGCGCCCGATTATGCTCGCGGCTCGAAGCGGAACGGCGCTTTATAGCGCGCGCATAATGAACGCGCCTTCACACTTAGTAACGTCATGCGATGGATGCTGCGCTTGTTTGTTGCAGATGTGTGCAGTGGCGAGGAGCTGCCAGAAGTCGAGATAATCAGCCTGCTGGAGGAGCAAATACCGAGATACCGTCTCCGAGCCGACACCTTAACGCAGTTCCAAGGTCAGCTCCATTTCTGCTTCCTTTTTTTCACTTGCAAAACGAGAAACGCGAGTGGAGAGGTAGAAGTTCGTGCCAAATCCAAAGCGAAAAAGTGCACGACCGCTCGCGAAACCTTGAATTCCTTTCGATTCGTCTTTTTTTTCTTTTGCACGCGCAATTTGTATCTTAGATATCGAATTTATTATTATTTCCAAAACGATTTATTGACGCTGATAAAATACGCTTGCCGATAAGATCTGATCTGATCGACAAATCCATCGGTTGCCGATGGATAAATTTGATTGTTTCGATGAATTATAACAGCGTCTTGTTTCGATTAAATCAGACAATAAAAATATGTAGTTGCTTTGCAGAGTATTGTGCAAACGTAATTCCCGCGAACCGAGAAATATTGACATAGCTTCATCTGTATAGAAAAAAAATTAGCCTTAAATCAAATAAATATTCTCTCTCATCTATAAGCAAGAATATTGTAATCTTCATATAGAAGATTCTTGAGTCGAGGCAAAAGGAATATTTGCAAATTCAGTTAAATTAAATTCAATTATTTTAAATTCAAATTATATTAAAATAAAAAAATATTCCTGTTTATATATAAGAATATTTGCTTTGATTTAAGACTAATTTTTTTTTCTACGTACGATTAACACACTTCTAATGTAATGAACTCTCTTTTGACAAGAAACTAGGATGTCGAAGATCGATATAAGTAGAGAAGACCACAACGTGCACCCGATCGAATTTCCTGCGTTCTAATTAATCGAAGAAGCCTCTGTCCGGTAACCATATAGAACCGCGTTTCGCAAACGATGGTTTATAGAACTCTACAATATTAAAAGGTTACATTAAGAAATTGCAAAATGTCGAAAACAGAGAAAGCCTCTCGTAACAATATATTATAACTCCACGGGCGTGAGAAAAAAAATATAATTAACAATATCGGAAGTAGGTAAGGGAAAAAAAAAACGTTTATGTACGATTGCATGTTGCAAAGAAAGAGAGCATGAGAGAAGTGTGAAAGTATAAAAAATATTGTAGGGATTCGCGTGATCTTTCCTCGAGTGCCTTGAACCAGGAGCGATAATGTGGCACGTGCCAGATGGTGAACCATCAATTTGACTATGGTGTGACCCGTATCGCGTGTCCCGTCAAAGCGAAGCTCCTGAAGGCGCGGGGGATTGAATTGCCGCCAATTAGCAACAGTACATTTAGCTTCGCTCCGCGTGAATTATAATGCTTTTTTGTTACTCGTCTTTGGAACGGATACGATTACCGCATTAATTAGCACGATAATACGCCGCCACACGTTAGTGTGCTCTATCGTAATTTGCAGACCGAGGCGCTTAACACATTTTTGCAATCTCCGTTTCAGCAGACGAGTAATCTAGATTGCGCGAATTCGGATCGCGGCGATCGTCGATGATGATGATGATGATGATGATGATGATGATGATGATGATGATAATGATGGTAATGATAATGATGATAATGTTGTGTGCGAGATTATCAATAAAGATTTTTAGATATTGTTTCACATTGTTTCTACATTGTGTGTCGCATTGTATTTACAGGATACGAAAACGCCGATTGGTTCATTCCGGCGCCTGTTCTCAAGTCGGAGGACGTTGATTTGAAATTATCGCCGGACCAGATCCGGGAGACTCTTAACTACTTCAGTAAGTACAATGTTCAATTTCCTTATCGATATGTTTGTAACTTTCTTTGGTAGATTAGAATATACGTGTGGAAGCTGAACGAGAATGAATATAAGCGAAGCGAGAGAGGCCGGAAATGATTTGCGAATATTTCGCCGGATAAAAATAATAAAAATAATAAAGATCTTTTCAACGCTTCAAGTAAAAAACTTAAGTAATACTATGTATGTGTATGTGTGTGTGTGTGTGTGTGTGTGTGTGTGTGTGTGTGTGTGTGTGCGCGCAGAAATGTGCTTTCCTTTTATTATTGAAGTAAGGTTTTGATTGATGCGTTTAACATATGCAATTACCGTTTAATTGCGCTGTATTATTGCCGCAATTAAAGCGTAATCGCAAGCAGATTGAAGAAAGAAGCAGAAAGAAACGGAAACAGAGACAAGATTCGATCGTACACGGGAACGTGATGTTAATTCAACAAGCGGAATAAATCTAATCAAAGTCGGCGAACAGAAAACCGGCATCCAATGCTGTACGGCACAATGGCAATGGCCATTTGTTCGGGTGGGTAATTCTACAATTTAACGCGCGCAATTTCTCGCGTAGAAATTCTGCTAAACGAAATGGAAAAGCGGCGGATTATGATAGGACATAGTCGAGAGATCCAGATGTCGCAAACGCGTGCCATTAATTATCGTAATTTCGAGGAACGACGACCGCACGAAAGATTCCGCGAGGGAAACGGCACGATTTTCTCGCATGAACGAAAAACGATGCGGCCGTTTTCGCTACGAGACATCTCGCGTGTCGTTGATTACCGATTTTCCATAGTCCTGAGACGACGCAATGCGTTCATTTTCATTTACGTGCTCTAGATACCGCGTAGAAGTAACACCTCGACCGTCGTGTCGTACGCTGTGAAATAACATTTGCGATTTAATGGCGACAATTTGACTTGCGTAATTGCCATTTTCTCCGCGACGTGAATTGTTTCAAGATTGTCGGGATGTTTATTATTCAGCATTCCATATCACGCAATATTATATTCATGACCCGTTTAAACATTACAGCCTTGAATACAGGCGTGAAATTTCCATATCACGTTTTATTCGGATATATATATATTTCATATTGATTATCATTCATATTGATTATATGAAGTACACGCACGGGTCTACTTTCTAAACGATTTCCACTTTTTTTTTTTCTTTCCACAGAGTCGATGCATTTTTCTCAATAATTTAACAAAGACACATCCTCGCGATTTTTAATTGCTTTCCATTCCTCTTTATTCCTTTATGGAACGTCTCGGGTCTTTGCGGAAGATATTTACGCAGATAGGTCGGCAGACTGTTCTTATGACTATCGACGAATACGGGAGAGAACCGTATCTGAGAGATGTACCAGTCTATTTAGTAATTAGTACACGAAAGTATCCTGTATTCTCTCTTTTTCTCTATCTGTATTATCCATCATCGAGCCTTTCATCGCTCCATCTTTCTTTACGTATCTATTTATCAAATTTCAAATTTCGATGTAGCGAACATACATTCTTATCATAATTAGAATTTTAAAATATACTAATTAAATATATAAACGCACGTATAAAATAAGAATATATGACGTGTTATAGATTTTATATCCGTGAATTATATCCGTTTTCTCGTATAATAAATAAGTTTCTACACATCGCTTTGTAAAAGTAATTGCACTCGTGCATGTATTTTATTTATGGTAAATGTGCGTTTAATGACGCGGTCTACTTTAAAATAAAAGTTTTAAAATAAAAGTAGAAGTCGGGAAGTGGTAGTATAGCAATTAATAGAAAAATAAAAGATGTTTCCGAAGCGGATTAGATACACATATTATCAAAAGAAAGTGCCTATGTGGCTTAGCTGTTTTTTATCAATGTTAATAAATATATTTCTCTTCCGCTAATAATTATTCATTAATTATTTACGTAAAATCAATTATATGAAGATCTCGTAGCAAATAAAAAAAAAGATTTATTCGACCTTGACGGATTTTAATCATTGAATAATTAATGCGCGATAATTGATATGCAAATTAATAATTAGCTAAATTAATTTTTTAATATGAGCTCTTAAAATTATCTGTGGAAAAATAATCTTTTATATATTATATATAATATTCACATTTTATCGTTGTGAGACAAATCTACTTGCACATTTCAATCAAAACTCCTCGTTCTTTTTTCTTTCTTCCTCTTATTTCTATTTCGTTGTAGGATTTAGTTGTAGTATTATTACATACCGGCGGCTGTTCCGTTTGTTCATTTGCACAACTAATCACTGTTTTCCGTTTTGCGCCCGAAATAATAATGAGAATCCTCTCACAATCGCAAGGATGGGACGCGCACGAGATCGCATTGTTGTACATAACGTACATGATGCATCCTCTAACTGTTCCACTTTTCTCGTTTTTATTTTGCATACGCGTTGCCTCTTCACCTTTTCCTTGAACCGTGCAAAACGTGAAATTTCACCGGACCAGAAAGAATGATACGAAGTTCTTTTTTTTTCTTTCTTTCTTTCTTTCTTTCTTTCTTTCTTTCTCGGTTCTCATGACGATTCTCTCATTCTTTCTGACATCGCTCGTGATTTCTCCATTCAACCTTTCGTCGCACCCGATGTAGAAAGTGTTCGCAAGTTTGTCGTTTAATTGCACTATTCAATCGTCTTTGTTATCCTGTTGTTTCTCCGACCGATTTGCGACGCCACTTTTCTCATCGGTTAGGAAAAAACGAGGAAATCAAACGTACTTCACGATACCGCAGCATCGAACATAGAAAACACTTGTACGTTTGTTAACGATTAACGGTTTCATTCGATTATTTGCATCTTAATTGCGAAGACATCTCGCGACTTTTACATGGCATTTTTTTAACAACAGAAAAAAAGTCAATTTCAACTACTTTAATTATGGTAATGATACATTTTCATCGAATGAGAGATAAGATGATTTTCAAGATTGAACTATTTAATGGAAATAATGTAATTGCTTCCGAGATATCGTTCTTCCGCTTCCACATTTTTCCACATCTCTCATACGGAACAATTTGATATATTTCATTCATTCGTATAATTTTATATATATATAAATCATTAATTATATATAGTTTAATAATATATTCACTAAGCCAAATTAAATTTTACAATTATAATATACAAAGTCATTAGAGAAAATTTGATCGAAAAATTCTGCGGATTGCTCACGCGGATCATAAAATCTACTTAGGAAAGTATCGCGTGAAACGTTTAGATATAAAATAAAGCGTGAAGTATCAAAAGTGTACTTTCACTAGTCCATATATTAATAAATGGAATTTAATATCTTGCGAATGAAGATTGCGGATGCCATTTCGCGCCTTAGGAATCGTAGCCGTCCATTAGATCATCCTACAAAGAGCATTACTTTCTCAAGGAATATCTTCCAGGCGCTCTCGCGGCGTACCCTGAAAATGTCGGATACCCCACCTGCGTTTCGTATTCGCTTGTTTACCCCCGACGATCGCACAATGCGATAATGCTATTCAGAATTCCTTTTACCAGCCACGATTATTTCGCCACGAAATATCAAAGGACTATCGCCCACCATCAAACATAAATCAATTCTAAATTCAACAATTATTTCATATGGTTAAAAAGCGACATACAAAATTTGCACAGGTTTTAAAAGGATGCTAGGAAAATCTCGATTAGAATATTTTTAAATATATAAATAAAAAATGGCACATATATTTTATTTACATATTTTTAAATATTTATATATATTTAAAAATAAATATTAAGAGGGTGACTAAGTAAAGTTTTGTATTTGACCTACTATTACACGCAAGATATATTTTATAATCTTCAGTCTTTCTAAAATTCATTATATTGATGAGGGTAAAACTTTTGCATTTATCCTTATTTAGAAAATATTACCCATCTTTATTTAATGGTAAGTCATCATAGAGAGAACAAAAATTGACATATAATATTGGAGTAGAGTGAAACGACAATACACCCCATGCGAGTAATTACAAAAAGCCATGCGATATACAATTGAAGACGATATATCACGAAGTGGTTATTGTAACGACACAATATCCTTGATCTAATTCTTCTCACGTCAAGTCTCGTCACGTAACGTCGCCGTTTTCGCCGCATTGCGCAGACGCTTACGAATCTTTAATATGTATACATTCCAACGGTTTTTGGAACATGATTTTCTTCTAAATTTTAACATTGGCTGCATTCAACGGAAAAAGCAGCTTTGCAACTGTTGTGAAATTTTTGAATATGATTGATCTTTATACATTTAGATCCAATGAGATATTAAAGAATTTTACAACAATCAATCATGTTAGAGATTCTTATAGCAAAATCTTGCAAAATTGCTCTCTTTGCTGAATATAGCTATTGTTGCTAGGAATATCAGAATCTTTTGAATGCTTTTCATAATTTTCTATTATAAATTTGTAATTGTATATTCAGATAGATTGATGTATATAAATTTGATTACAGTTTTATTTTATTATTATTAATCATACAATGCAAGATTGTATTTCTCATGATGTGTTCAGATGATAGTCATATTTAATCATAAAATAAGAAAACGAAATAGAAATCTGAATAAAAATTAGCAACATTTACTCAAAAGAGATACTTTACATTATCATAAAAATAACATTATAATCTGAAAA